GGCCTGGAGTGGTAAAGTGTCCTACCATGAAGGATGCAATAAGGCTGCCCTCCCCAGAAATAGTATTTTAAAAGGTACACTCACCGGAGGTCCCTTCTCCGCCTGCTGGGTCCAGGAGGCAGCCTTGGGTGGGTTCGGGGGGTACTGGCTCCAGGTCCAGGGTGAGAAACAGTTCCTGGCTGTCGGGAAAACCGGTTTCTCCGCTTGCTTGCTGTGAGCTATCTACAACCTCTTCTTCTTCTTCTTCGTCCCCAAAACCTGCTTCCGTATTGCCTCCATCTCCATTGAAGGAGTCAAACAACACAGCTGGGGTAGTGGTGGCTGAACCCCCTAAAATGGCATGCAGCTCATCATAGAAGCGGCATGTTTGGGGCTCGGACCCGGAGCGGCCGTTCGCCTCTCTGGTTTTCTGGTAGGCTTGCCTCAGCTCCTTCAGTTTCACGTGGCACTGCTTCGGGTCCCTGTTATGGCCTCTGTCCTTCATGCCCTGGGAGATTTTGACAAAGGTTTTGGCATTTCAAAAACTGGAACGGAGTTCTGATAGCACGGATTCCTCTCCCCATACAGCGATCAGATCCTGTACCACCCGTTCAGTCCATGCTGGAGCTCTTTTGCGATTCTGGGACTCCATTATGGTCACCTCTGCAGATGAGCTCTGCATGGTCACCTGCAGCTTGCCATGCTGGCCAAACAGGAAATGAGATTCAAAAGTTCACGGTTCTTTTCCTGTCTACCTGGCCAGTGCATCTGAGATGAGAGTGCTGTCCAGAGCGGTCACAATGGAGCGCTCTGGGATAGCTCCCGGAGGCCAATACCGTCGAATTGTGTCCACAGTACCCCAAATTCGAGCCAGCAAGGCCGATTTAAGCGCTAATCCACTTGTCAGGGGTGGAGTAAGGAAATCGATTTTAAGAGCCCTTTAAGTCGAAATAAAGGGCTTCATCGTGTGGACGGGTGCAAGTTTACATCAATTTAATGCTGCTAAATTCGACCTAAAGTCCTAGTGTAGACCAGGGCTTACATAGATCGCTTAAGGAATTGGTAATGGCACATGCTGAGCCTTTCACCTCAAATGCAGGCTGATGACTGCAACGGGTGGCTCATCAAAATGAATTGCAGTTTCTGATGGATGAGACCCAACATCTTAAAACTACCACCAGACGTGACACTAGCTGGGATCCTTGATAGCAGGCTTGGCAGTGAAGCCAAAGATTGAATGGCTCATGGAGTCAGAACTACTTTTCTTTCTTTTTTTTTTTTTTCTTTTTTGCCCGGAGACGATGCCCCCAGCTCAGGGTTGAGATTGGCAGTATGGAGAATCTTGTATTGCTGATGACCATGTTGTACCTGTTCTTTGGCTAAATAAGGCTGTAGTTAATTCAGGGTCCCAAGTTGCTTGGATGGTAGGGAAGAGAAAGAGCTGTCCGTCTGGTCCCTCTCACCAGCACTAAATCTTGCACCAAAAATTTATTTGATAAGTTTACTTTAAAGACTTCACAGCCTTGTCACGCTCCTGTTTGCTTAATGTTCCTGACATCAGACAACATGAGCTTCTTCAGGGCAGAGAAGCAGCCAACCTTGAAAGCAACCCTAATGCATTAAGTTCTCTGCTCTCAAACTGCTGTGTGTTTACCACTCTGGTGAAATGGCCCCTGCTGAAACAGCAGCCACTGTGGTTTGTGTGCTGAAGTCCCTGAGGCCAGTACTAAAGCAGCTCACAGAAACACAATCAACACTCTTCTAAACTTACAAGATCTCTAGAGAGCTTCTGACAATATCTAATTCGATTAGGAGGCTTTATCACCATTATAATACTGTCGGAGGAGCAGGGGGAATGGATGGAGCAGCATTTCACATCCTGTCTCTGACCATCTGCATGAGCAGTGAGTGTGTCCCATGTTAGAACACTTTTGTTGCCATGTAAATCCAAGTCTCAGGCCTGGTCTACATTAGAAAATTAGGTCTACTTAACTAGGTTGTAGGTTGTGAAAAATGCATGCCCCTGAGCAGCGCAGTTAAGCCAACCTAAGTCCCTGGGTAGACAGTGCTAGATCAATGGAAGAATTCTTCTGTCAACCTAGCTACGGCCTCTCGGGGAGGTGGATTACCTTTGTTGATGGGAGAACCCCTTCTATGGGCATAGGTAATGTCTACAATGAAGCGCTACAGTGGCGCCACTGTAGCGTTTCAAGAGTAGAAAGCCCTCCGTAAGCATGAGTTAATTTAAATTTTCAAACTTGATTCATGAGATCAAACGGACTCAACTTCCTTAGGAGCTTCTAGTACTGTCCATGCTTGAGGATTCTTATTAGTTCTATGGTATGTCCTACAGCAACCGGGCAGTAAGATTTCTATAGGGTTGTATAGTCCTGTACTTAACTGTACTATAAAACAGGAGCTACTTACACATCTGAGATGCTACCTTTTAGCTAGTAGTGATGGCAGCAAGTCAGACAAAATAGTTGTGTGATGGCATTTCTCAGAACGTTCAGCCTTGCTTGGTTGTAAGATCAATAAACAGGCAGACTTAGCAAGCCATGTCCTGTGCTGCCCAAGCAACAGTGCTGCCAATACTAATAAAAAACAGTCCAGTGCCAACAGTTGCTTTTAAACAATGTTCTCCTGCAATGTTTGAAGCCTAAACAGTGCAACAATGAGAGCCAGAATGTGCAAGTGGCTGCAAATCAGGTGAAATGGATTTCACTTCTGTTACCATGGAAGCTGGGAGAAATGAAAAATGGTAAACGGCAGCTAGTGACAAGACAATCCAGGCCTCTTAAAATTCCTTCACTTTTAATCACCTCTAAGAAACTGCTTTTCAGTTTGGTTTTAGAAACTTTCCCAAGGGAAGATAATGCAGTTTGGTATCCATGCACATTAGGAACTTATCCCCAACACACACACCCCGCCCTTCACGTACTCGTACCGCAGTTCAAACACTAGCCTGAATTAAGCTTTAAAACTTCTCTCTGCCTGGTAGGAATCCCAAGAAAGTGCAGACCCCGTATGATGGAGCTCTGCAGTAACACTAATTCTGACTGTAAAAGCTCCAGTGACGAAGTTAGAAAGGATATTAGTTCTCTGCAGGGATGGGTGTGCATCTTAGGTCAATGAAGGCTGATGGGTTCAATCTTACTTATTGGTTTTGTAAATTCAGAAAGAAAACAGCTTCAAGGATCAAAGTTCTTAACTGGAGAGTTCAGGATATAGAAGATGGTAGAGGAAGGTTCATTCTAACAAATCTTGCTCATGCCTGGAAGATGTTCTGCCTGTAACTAGTTCATTACACTTCTGCATTCACACAAGGCTCTTTTTAAATGTAATGGTGTCTATATAAGGTGAGAACTAAGGACCTGAGATTGGAGGGGAGAGGCTGCCTGAGGAAAAACTATGAAGCCCCCCTCCCCCACAGAACAAGACAAGGGATATTAAGCCCAGAAGAAGGTGGAGCTGTGGGAGGGGTACTAATGCACTCTTCTAGCACATATTGTGCAGCCCAATCTATTATTATACTCCTCCTTTAAATGCCCAAATATCTGGCATGTTAAATATCAATATAATGAGACAAGGTGGGTCGGTAATATCTTTTACTGGACCACTTCTGCTGGTGAGAGAGACACGCTTCTGAGCTACACAGAGCTCTTCCTCAGGTCTGGGAAAGGTACTTAGGCTTTCTCTACACTAGCACTTTTGCTGGCAAAACTGTTGTCTGTCAAGGGTGTAAAAAAAAATACACCCCTAACCGACATAAGTTACACCGACAGAAGCACTGATGTGGACAGCCCAATGTCGCTGGGAGATGCTCTCCTGCCGACATAGCTACCACCACTCGGTGGAGGTGGTTTAATTATGTCGACGAGAGATCTCTCCCGTCAGCGTCAAGGGGCTACATGAGCAATCTTACAGAGGCACAGCTACATCAGTACAGCTGTGCCACTGTAAGCTTGCTAGTATAGACGTGGCTTTAGTGTCTAGAAAAGTTATGAATTTAAGCTCCCAGACTCGTCTTTTGAAAGTGTTATGCAGATTTCCTTTGAGGATGAGGACTGATAGGTCAGATATAGAGCGATCTCTTTGTGAAAAGTGTTCACTCACAGGTGACAGCGTGTTTTTGTCTTTTATCGTTTTCCTGTATGAGCCTTGTGATTATCTGGTTTCATCCACATAGTTGTTGTTGAGGCATTAAGTGCACTGGATGAGGTACGCCACATGTTGTGATAGGCATGTGTAGGATCCACGGATCTTGAAATGTGTGTTGTGCGTAGCAATGGACTTATGTCTGCAGATTTTGCATGTTATTTTGGCAGGGTCTAGTGCCGCTTAGAGTTGGTGTGTCCTGGTCTTGTTACAGTGTCAAACACAGTCACCATTTCACTAACTAAAGAAAACCTCTCTCAGCCTCTTGGAATCTCTTTCTTTGCAGATGTATCCTCAACTTCTTAGTGAAAGTCCAAGACAAAACAGGGTAATGAAAGCAAACTTCTTTGCTAGTATCTAATGGAGAGGAAATTAATCCACAACACTGAGCAAGCAGTTGCAATGAGTCCCTTCCAAAACACTCAAGCAGTAACAACCTGGCTCATTTCATATCTTCAAACCTGACCTTTTTTCCCCTCTCTTTTCCAGTGATGTACTAATAGCTAGAGGTGGCATCCAAAATAAAGCTAGGCCAAGTTTTTTTTTTTTAATAGCATGCAGCAGAGAACTGACTGCTTCTGTAAACTCACCCCAAAACTTTTCAGTTGTTTCGGAAGCTGACACCAGGAATGTTATGCAAGAGGCTGAGAGAGTATTCTAAACAAACTTGGCCAAATAATCTGTTCTGAACGTGTTTTCTGAATGTTATGCTTGTTTTCACTGAATAATTCATTTAAACTACATTTTGTGGTATTAGATTAGCTCCATAACGATAGTCATTGAATAACTTATTTGATATTCTTTTCTGTAGATGGCCAGCTCTGAGTATTGGCATGTAAACACTCACTCCAGGCATTCCACTTTGCTTCTAAATTAATATGTATCTAGGCCTGCTGGAAGAAATCTCTTTTGAACAAATCTCTTCACCCCCTTTCCCAGTCCCGAAGCAGGGGAGATCAGCTCTGCAGGATGAGGTTATCCCCTGTTGCAGCTGGAACAAAAGCCAGTGCAAGAAGAAAACAATAACACATCCTGGAAGCGGGGTAAGAGCTGTGCTATTTGAGGGAATTAGATTTGCCCTGCCCCTCTTAAGAAAATGTACAGTAGCTAACAGCATGGCTTAGGAGATTGATAATGTGACAAGCAGCCCTTTTCATTTGTACATCATGGGTTTGAATCTGGCCAGGGTCAGTTGTAACCAGAAGCTGTTGCAGGATTGCTCCGGTAATAGCCCTTGTTTACCTCTCTGATTTTAAAGAAAATAAATGCTCTAAAGCAAGTGGTTTTCAACCAGGGGTACGCATACCCCAAGAGGGACAGAGTTCTTTCAGGGGCTACATCAACTCATCTAGATATTTGCCTAGTTTTACAACTGTCTACATAAAAAGCACTACCGATGTCGGTACAAACTAACATTTGTTACATACAACTTGTTTATACAGCTCTATATACTATACACTGAAATGTAAGTACAATAGCTATTTTCATTTGATGTATTTTATAATATGGTAAAAATGAGAAAGTAAGCAATTTTTCAGGAATAGTGTGTTGTGACGCTTTTGTATTTTTATGTCTGATTTTGTAAGCAAGTAGGTTTTAAGTGAGGTGAAACTGGGAGGATATGGCAGGCAAGATAAATCAGACTCCTGAAATGGGTACGCTCATCGGGAAAGGTTGCTCTAAAGCAGTGGTCTCCAAAGTGGGGTGCGCGCACGGGGGGAAGACGATCGATTGGGGGGCGCAGCAGGAGGAGTGCAGCCGGAGCAAAAGGGCAGCGCGGCAGGAGGAGCACCGCCGGAGGGGGGGGGGGCGGCCCTGAGTCCTCTGGCCCGTGGAGGAGCAGGGGCAGCTGCGCAGCCAGCGGCTGGAAAGAAGCGGCGCTTTCCCCTTCAAAGCCAGCCGGAGAGAAGCGAGGCTTTGAAGGGGAAAGCGCCGCTTCTCTCTGGCCGCTGGCCGCCCCTGCTCCCCCTGAGTCCTCTGGCGTGTGCGCGCAGGGCCGCATTCCGAGAGGGGCTTTAGAGCTGCAGGCCAGGGCCCGGGGCCCCCTTAGCCCAAGGCCCTGAAGCCCCTAAAGCCCCTGCGTTCCGGGTGGCCCTGCCTGCCGGGGGGGAAGCTGCTCCCAGAATCACGACTCCCAGAATCGTGGCCATGGGGGTGGTGCTGCGCTCCGCAGAGCAACCTGCACACCCCCTGCACCAAACAGGAGCTGCCCCAGGTAAGTGCTCTGCACCTCCTGCCTGCCCCAGCCCTGAGCCTCTTCCCGCATCCTCACCCTGAGCGCCCTCCCACACCCTAACTCCCTCCCAGACCCCGCACCCCACCCTGAGCGCCGGCTGTATCAAAGTGTTAAACCAAGATTTTCAAAAATAATAAACCACATTCGATCACATTGCTCTCACTAAAAATATTAATTTTTTAGTGAGAGCAAATAAAATAAATTATTTTAAAAATATTGTTTTTTTCATCTTTATCTCATTGTTTTTTCATTTCTATTTTTGTGTATGTTTTATAATTTACAAATATTAGTACAGTAGTACATGTATATAATTGATACATATACATATATTGAGAACCGGCCCCAGGCGTGCTCAAAAATTTTTCACTGATAGGGGTGCGCGATCAAAAAAGTTTGGAGACCACTGTTCTAAAGCAGCGGTTCTCAAACTGTGGGTCGCGATCCCATTTTCATGCGGCGGTGAGAGCCGGGTTAGACTTGCTCCAATACAGGTAAATGACCAGCTGCTTGTTGGTTCATTATGTGATGGGCTCTCAGTCACTGCATGGCTCGGGTGCACATCTCTGCAGCCAGCCTCCTCTGCTGGATCCCGGCCACTCCACCACCATTCAGTCTTAGGCCCCGCCCCATCTGCCCATACATTGTGATGTCACGCCAGGCCTTGTGGCGTCATCCCCAGTCCCGTGCATCTTTGCCCTCAGCTCTGGGAGATAATTCCAGCCGCTCACCAGCTCCCTGGGCCGCGTTGCTAGGCAGAGTAGAGGCCGAGCCGCGGTGGGAGGGGTCGGAGTTGGGCGGGGCCTGGGGAGGACAGTAACCAATCCCAAGGCTGGTGGTGCCGGAGCCTAGCCAGTCAGGAGTGAGGGGGGCGGGCACGAAGCGGAGCCGGCGGCCCCGGCCTGTGCTGAGGAGGAGTGGAGAGCTGGGGCATGGCGGCCGCGATGGCGAGCGCGGCGGAGCGGGCAGTGCTGGTGAGTCCGGGACCCTCCCCCTCCTCTGCCCCCCTGCCAAGGGCCTGGGCCCGCCCCTGCATCTCGCCAGCCGGGGGTTGGGTCCAGCCCCGAGGCCCTCCTCTGGGGGTGGGGATCCTTCCCCCAGGTGTCCCGGAGAGAGGCGCTGCCCGGCGTGGGGGAGGGCGAAGGGCTGCCCGGGGCCGGTTCTCCCCTGCGGGGCAGTGCCCCCAACGCAGCAGCCCGCCCCTCTCCGCCATCGCAGACAGCATCAGCCCGGCCGATCTGGAGATGCAGCGTCTCGCCTGGGTGGTGGCTGCCCCTGCCCTGGCCAGGTGACCCATCGGCCTGGAAGGGACTCCAGAGGTCATCTAGTCCCGGCCCCTGCACTCACGGCAGGACTAGGTATTATCTAGACCCGGGGTCTCAAACTCAAATGACCACGGGGGCCGCATGAGGACTAGTACATTGGCCTGAGGGCTGTACCACTGACCACCCGCTGCCCCGGCCCCGCCCCTACTCCACCCTTTCTGTGAGGCCCCACCCCTGCCCCACCTCTTCCCAACCCTTCCCTGCCCCCATTCCAAACCCTTCCCCGAAATCCCCACCCCAGCTCCGCCCCCTCCCTGCCCCCAGAGGGTACAGGTGGGGTGCAGGGTGCAGCAGGGGGCTCAGGACAGGGGGGTTGGCGTTCAGAAGGTGTGCGTGGTGCGGCGGGGGCTCAGGGGGTTGGGGTGCAGGAGGGGTGCAGGGTGAGGCAGGGGGCTCAGGGCAGGGGGTTCGGCTGCAGGAGGGGTTCGGGGGGTGGCGCACCAGGGGCGGGGCAGGCTCCCTGCCTGCCTGCCCTGTCCCCGCGCCCTCTAGGGAGGAGGCCGGGACCTGGTGGGGGAGGTGCACAGGGGTTTGTGTGTTGCCCTGGCCTCTCCTCCAGGTACCTCCCCTGAAGCTCCCATTGGCCTGGGAGCTTCGGGGGAGGTACCTGGAGGGGTGGCCAGGGCAACACACAGACCCCTGTGCCTCCCCCCAGGTCCTGGCCGCTTCCCGGAGCGGTGCTGGGGCAAGGCAGGCAGGGAGGGAGCCTGCCCTGTCCCCGGTGTGCACCGGGCCGGAGCTGCTCTAGGTAAATGCTGGGGGGACTGCGGGGAGTTGGTAGGCTGTAGAAAATAACCCCGTGGGCCGTGTGTTTGAGACCCCTGATCTAGACCATCCCTGACAGGGTTTGTCCAACCTGCTCTTAAAAATCCCCAATGATGGAGATTCCACAGCCTCCCTAGGCAATTTCTTCCTAACTGTCAGGGTGGTTAAGCCCTGGAAGTTTTTCCTAATGTCCAACCTAAACTGCCCTTGCTGCAATATAAACCCATTGCTTCTTGTCCTATCCTCAGAGGTTAAGAAGAACAGTTTTTCTCCCTCCTCCTTGTAACAACCTTTTATGTACTTGAAAACTGTTATGTCCCCTTCTCAATCTTCTTTTCTCCAGATGAAACAAACCCAGTTTTTTCAATCTTCTCTCATAGGTGATGTTTTTTTGACCTTTAATCATTTTTGTCGCTCTTCTATGGACTTTCTCCAATTTGTCCACATCCTTCCTGAAATGTGGCGCCCAGAACTGTACACAATACTCCAGTTGAGGGGCCTAATCAGCGCTGAGTAGAGCAGAAGAATGACTTCTCATGTCTTGCTTACAACACTCCTGCTAATATATCCCAGTATGATGTTTGCTTTTTTTGCAACAGCATTACACTGTTGACTCATATTTAGCTTGTGATCCATTATGACCCCCAGATCTCTTTCTGCAGTACTCCTTCCAAGACAGTCATTTCCTATTTTGTATGTGTGCAACTGATTGTTGCTTCCTAAGTGGAGTACTTTGCATTTGTCCTTATTGAATTTCATCCTGTTTACTTCAAGCCATTTCTCCAGTTTGTCCAGATCATTTTGAATTTTAATCCTATCCTCCAAAGCACTTGCAACCCCTCCCAGCTTGGTATCATCCACAAACTTTGTAAGTGTACTCTCTATGCCATTATTTAAATCATTGATGAAGATATTGAACAGAACTGGACCCAAAACCAATCCCTTCAGGACCATACTTGTTATGCCCTTCCAGCATGACTGTGAACCACTGATGATTACTCTCTGGGAATGATTTTCCAACCAGTTATACCCCCACCTTATAATAGTTCTATTTAGGTTGTATTAATGAGGTTCATGGCATAGGGTCATTGCTGACTGTGAACTAAGCAGGGAAGCTGAAGTTTGCCTAGCAGCCAACAGGCATTTCTCATCCCTGACCTCTTCTTTCAGGGCACGCTTTCCTTGGTCCTCCCTTAAATACTGCTTGCGGGGCACTGCCCACTTGTCCAGTGTATTAGTCTCTTGTTCTTAGTAGTGAAAGCCTTAATTGATATAGGGTCAGTGCCCCTTAGCAATTGTCTGCTTCCATGTGTCCTGTGAAGACCATTAAGATCAGTAAATTGGAGCTACTGGTCCTTCCCCAAGGTAGGATCTTGAGGGTGGGAAGCGGATTCTTGTCAGGCTTTCAGCCCTGGAATGTCCTTACTCACTAGTACATCCTCTGTAAATCAAGGTTTGTGACTCTCTAGTATTTTACTTGTGTTGTTTTCGGGTCAGGATTGTAACTCGCTGGCTGGAGGAAATTTTACAGATGCCATCTCTGATAATTTTTAGCGATTTCTAAGGTACCTAAAAGGCCTTTGGCCTTGGATAACTGAAATTAAACATCGGTACTAAAGGACATTTTTATGACCAAGGTATGCATGGGTTTGTCCATCAAGAACTTAATTAACAAATGTGCCTGAAATTGTGTTCTAATTGAGACCCTATTGTAATCAGT